CTATGGCCAGTCCGAATCGGCGCTTGCACGCCTCTGTTCACTATCTAGGTGGCCGTAGAGACTATTATCAGGGGGATTGTTGCCACTGAACTAGGCTGGCGTCTCTCTGGGATGGCACCGTAAGCAGGATCTGCCATAATGCTCTCCAATTTGGCAGAGCCTACAGTAGCGTGAGGTCCCTTGTATTTGCAGAAGCGTTTTTCAGGCAACGGCACCGGCTTCTTCCGGAGTTTTGCCTGCTGGGTCCGGACACCCACCTTCGTCTTGTACAGACACAGAGGTGTCGAATCATTTTGTAAATTTTTCTGCTTTGGGATTTCTCAACCTCTGATGCTCGGGTCGGCCCTGAACTGTTCCGCCGTACCCAGAAGCCAGGCGTTCCTTTTCCCACTACCTTCCCATACTTTAGCTTCCTCAAGACCCTTAGCGGATGGTACTACAGATTCAGAAAGGTACTTGAGTTTGCCTTCGCAGGAAGGGGTCACGGAAACACTCCATTCTTCCACTTTCATCCCCTTTAGGGACCAGTTCCGGACCAAGTCTCTTCCATACCCTTCCTGGAGTGCTGTCCGCAGACTCTGAGTACCATGAACCGGCAGCCGGTTCCCCTTCCTCTCTCAGTAGGTATGCCCAGCTTGATGGGATAGCTTCGATGAGGCAGGCATGAGCCACGTGGTGTAATCCTGGTATGGTAATTGTCTTCTGAGAGCTTCCACCCGAGATGCACGAGCCTTGGTCCTTGTCCCCATAAAAACATAAACTTTGAAGTTCGATGGCTAAATACATGGCAATCAAATCATAAGATGAGATCATGAAAAGCATACTACAAGTAGAGAGTAGAATTAACACCATAGATTCAAAAGCATTCAAAGTTTCTTGATATGTCTTATCTGTAGCACCCCTTTTTCAGCCCACGCTTCACGGAAGTGGCCAGGTCCGTCTCCCGCTGAGAAAGACTCCTGATTTTGCTGAAGAATTGACTGATTCTCGAACAGGAGCTTATTGGCCACTTCATTCTCGGTCCTGGGATCTCTCAGTAGGTGTGGAAAGAGCTTGTGCTACGGATATAATATCCCTTTGAAATTCCACGATTTCGATTTTGGTCTTCAGTTTGCGAATGAGGGCAGGAGACAGCAGGTCCAGGTGTCTTCGTGGTTACTCAACGACCACTCATTTCCCATAATGTACTTGGCAAACTTCATCCACGGCACGACTTTGATGGATTGCCGAACATGGCCTTGACCATCTACTTGATTAATATCGTTAGTACCGACCACATTTTTCGTACCCCCCTCCCTCAAATGAATTTGGACTGGAGGGGCAGCTTGAGGCCGATTCGGCTTCCACGTTAACGGCCGCCCCAACCGGTAGGTACTGGTGCTTTAATAGTGCCAGGTTGTGTTGCTTAGGATCCAGTATGCCCAACCCCCCTTTTGATTTCGGAAGGGCTACCACTTCCCATGCCACTTCAGACATATACCCTCCCTCCTGCGCCCTGGGTCTCCACAAGTACCTGGCCGCATCTCTCCTAATTTTAGAGTAGGCCTCCTCCCCTAGCAATACCATCGAGTGCCGGAACCATAAGAGTGAGAAGGCTGCAGATAAAATAACTAGGCTTCTCTCTCGGTCTCTCTCTCTCTCTCTCTCTCTCTCTCTCTCTCTCTCTCTCTCTCTCTCTCTCTCTCTCTCTCTCTCTGTGTCTCTCTGTCTCTCTCACACACACACACATACACACACACACACACACACACACACACACACGTGCGTGCACACGCGCGCGTGTGACGCCCAACCTCACGCCCAGCGCGACTTCCTGATCGGAGTAGGATGTGGGCCTGGAAGTGTGAAAAGGGGTGTGCCAAGGATTTTTGGGGAAAGTGGAGTCCCAGGTCAGAACAGAGATCTACTGTGGCAGGGTTTTCGGGGGCATGAGTGCAATTTGGCGAAGGGAGCGGATCGCCTCTGGTCACTAAGCGGATGGTACGCGTGGGTTGCTCAGGGCCGGGCGAGCCATTGGTTTCGAGGACGGCAGTTTGCGGGAGGGTCCCCTCGGGGTGGATGGGGTTCTGAGGATTCCGGCCGTCGGGGGTTGCCACGTGGCGCCGGTCGTCACGCGTTTGGGTTGGGCCTCCGGGATTCCGGGGTCCTCCGATCGCCGCGTCGTCGGCAGTTTCCGCAGGGCGTACTGGGCCAGTATGGGGCTATGGCCGGCCACGGGACGACGCTGAGCTGGTGGTACGGAAGGAGGAGGCGAAAGGGAGGGAAACTGGTGGTGATAACGACAAATCCGGGATAAATGAAGTAGTAGGTATGGTCCGGAAAGGGGAAATCAGAGCATCGGGGGTCGCTAGTGGTGGCGTAGTGGAATTCCCGAGGACATAGTCGGTTCACGATTAGGCAGGGGTATCTCTGTCGGAGGAGTTCATTTATCCAAGGGGTGAAGTAATCCGGGTCGTATGATGAGTCTGAATTCCAAGATTGTGTCATCGCGGCATCGCAGAGCTACGAGACGCTTTGAGGGCGGGTTTGTGACAGTTGCGATCGTCGCGCGCGAGCACGCGCAGGCCACGCGAAGTACGTCGGGCTTATGCATGCTCATGCGGGACGACTGTACCATCGCGGGTGGCTGCGTCCAATCAGGCAGTGTTTGGGCCTTTCGAATCGTCGCACGGGGATACGTGTAAGCGCATGACTCGGATCGCGTTTGCACGCTTCCTCGTGCGGTGTTCGCTGAGTCTGACGTCTAATCACTCCGTGCTGTTTTGAGCATGCGGGATGTGACAACCACAATAGCTCAATCAAAAGACAAACAAAATGAGAACAGGATTACCGATTGCGCAAAATTCCTCTCCTACTCACGAATGCATCGAATGGAATAATCGAAGGCATAGGCAAGGATCCGGCAAAAGATAAACAACCAAACATGGCATCCATACATCCATTCAGTCAGCACATACAGAATCGACACATTCGATCAGACAATATCCCGCAGTTGCTGAGTCACAACAGCCCAAGCAAGAGATTATCCTATCCTACTTACGAGTGCATCAATCAAAAAGCAAAGTTAAAGATCCCAACAGAAACCATTGCATCTATACGTTCATTCATTCAGCAACATGCGCATAGTACATCTGAGATAGAATCACGAAGATAAGTGCGAGCAAAAAAAATCCAAGTCCAAATTCCGAGAAATTGAAAAACGGGCAAACTGCCCGAAGCCGAAATCAAAATTTATTTACACGAGACAAGAGGGAGAAAAGATAAAAGAAACAGCAAAACTGCGTCCATCAACCTCAGATCCCTCTTCCTCTCTCTCTCTCTCTCCGATGCGGACAGTCCGTCATCGCGCACCAACCCACGAAGCCGTCACCCCGCGTAGTCCTCCCGCACCCATCAGGTTCGCCCGCGCCCACAGTCCGTCGTGGCTCGCGTCAACCCCTCGCGTTTGGCACCAGCTCATCGGGTCGCTCGGCTCGTGCTCTACTCACCTCTTACTTCGCTCGTGTGTCGACCCTCTCTGATCGCGCAACCCCGAGCTTCCAACTGCTGGTTAAGAGAGCGAACTAATCGCGCAGCCGAAATTTATAGCGTGTATGCATGCTCGAAGAACGCGGAATTACCAGAACTTAGAGGGAGATTAGAGAGGGATTCCCTATGTTCTGCATGACCAGGCTGCGGCGTGGGGGAAGTAGCCACTCTCCACGCATCGATCTGAGCATACAGTCCGTAACTACAAAAATGCAGCGAAAGAAAGAGAAGGAGGGCAGAAAGACGAAGCACAAGAAGAGAGATACAGTTACAATGGCGCCAACCCACGATTACACTTACACACCCGATTAAAGGTGCCGACTAATCAGAATTCCGTTGCAGCCGCATAAAGGAGCGGGCAAACAAAAAGCGCCGCGCAGCAAAAGAAAGTCCTAATCACAAAATTCCTAAATTCCTAACTAATGCGAAAAAGCAAAAGTACAGGTTCCAGAAGGAAAGTCCGCAATTCCGAGAGCCATCGGGGATCGACAAAATTCGAAAAAGAAAATTCAAAAAGAACAAAGCAAATTCATGCGCGATGTCCACGCCCAAAAAGTTCCGAAACCAAACCAAAAAAAAATGACGTCAACATTTATTAATCGCGCGCTTGTCGGCGCGCCGCAGACACAGCCAATCAATCAATCGATTGCCCCCGGACTCACCCGGCTCCGAACCCAACCATCCGAAAAGAGCGACGAAAAAGACAGAAACGAGGATACTGATGCAATTTCCCATCCATCCCAATCTTCCCGAAATTGGCGCAACCTTCCCAGCTTAGGACCCCTCATTGTGACCGCGCAGAAAATCATGCGCTACAGAAAGTGGTTTGTCACATATGTGACGCCCAGGGGGTTCCAATATTAGCAAGCTCCTGCTTGCTTGTTGACACGTGTCGATTTCTCTAATCGATCGACACGCAGAGTTCTTCCATGTCACTTACCGTTTGAATGCGTATGGACGTCGTCCAACGTGGCAGTACTGCTCTGCTACTAATTCCTCAGGGAGGGCCTTTGACAATCCAAGGAGGGGATTACACGTGTCGTCGTCAGGACACGTGTCCACTAATCCTGCATCAGCGAGCGTCGGGGAGGGGAAAGGGGAGACGGTACATGGAGGGGTGGCGAGGAGGAGGGTTGATAGGTAGCGGAGGAAGGAAGCTCTCCATTCCGGCCACCGTCTTGGGAAGCTCCTGGTAGCGAACGATCCGATGGAAGCGGGGGAATCGATTGCCAGTGTTGGGGAGGGACGCGAGGTAGTCGGGTAAAGGGTGGTGAAGGTTCGGAAGAGGGCCGCTCGAAAATGATCGTGGTTCTCGCATGCGGGGATAGTCCCCGTAATCATGCAGTATACCTCGATCATATTGTGGCCTCGCCACGCGGCAGTAAGGAAAAGGATATGGAGGCAGAAGACAGGGCAGGCGCATCGGGTGGAAGGGTGGGGATGAACAGCGACAGCGAGACGGGTAGTGTTGAAGAAGTGGAAGGTATCGATGGGGAAAGGATTGGCGGGGAAGGTGATGGGGGTGGTGATCTGGCGGAAGGAGAGGTGATCAAGGGGACGGCGGGATAAGGACCGGGGACGAAGCCCGATGCCCCGCATTGGTACGTGGGCGAGCTGATGGGCGGTCGGTGGCGGAGGGGGAGGGTGATCTGCTCCGTCGCCGCCTTGCTGGTGCGGCTGAAGTCTCGCCAACTGTCTTTCCATCCTCGGGCCTAGGCGGCTCTGGGTCCTGGGCCGGATCGTCGGTGAGCGGCTGGCCTGCCGCGCTGGCGAATTCCAATTGTCGCTTCCCGGCCGCGATCTTTTCCCTCTTCTGTGCCTGGGCCTGCTCCCGAGCCTCGTCGCGCAACTCCTCCTCGAGTCCTTCGTACTCCGACTCTGGTAACTCCTCCTGGTCTTCTTCCTCTTCGTCGTCGTCTTCTTCTTCGACCTCCTCTTCACTCTGCTTGCCCTCGCTATGCTCACTGTAGCTCCTTTCCTCGGGAGTTTCTTCCTCGTCGGCCTCTTCTTCGACCTCCTCTTCTTCCTCCGAGCTTTCTTCTTCCGCTTCAATCTCTATCTCTTCGTTTTCGGAAGCCGTTCGATCTTGGAAGAAGGCGAGGTCAACTATCTCGTGTGGGTCCAGGTAACCGCGCTGTGATGGCGGGTTGCGGTGGCTCCCCAGTTCCTCCAAGCACGCCGACCATTGGAGATATGGCTCCAAGGTCCGCGCAAGAACGTGTGGGACCGGGCTTTCATCGCTCTGCGAGACGATCTCGAGTGGGAGATTGTCTGCCAGCTGTGCGAGGGGGATCGTTAACTCGTGCGCAATCGGATTGGCGGTGATCGGTCCGCACAGATCCAAAGAGGAATCCGAGCAGATCGCCTTCGATTTCCGTTCGCCACACCTGGATGATAAGCAGCTCGAGGTACTCGGCCCACTGGCGGTGATCTCCATGCTGCGTCCACGTGACTCTTACTCCAACCAGACACACCGACAGCTCAATGAAGTGCTCTCGCCAACGCCTCCACTGCAGGGGATCGAGAAGAGAGACAACAAGTGATTCCAGTCGAAAGGAAAGATGCGGATGAACTCCGGACTGCCAGAAGGTGGGAAAGAAGGAGGGGAGGTCGAAGGTGGAGATCGGGGATGGGTTCATTGAGGATGGGGGAAGGGAATGAGTTTCGGGAGCACCATCGCCGGCTCGTGCTGGAAGGTTCGAATCCCGTCGAAATCGACGTCGTCCGTGGGAAAAAGGTTGCCTCCGTGGGGCGTAAGCCAATGATTCCACTCCGCCGCCAACTGCTGTGCCCACAGCTGGAGCGTCATCTTGATCATTGTATGTCGCAACGGACCGATGGTACTGATGTCGCCACTGAAAGCGACCACCGTAGACACGTGGCTTATTCCTGGAGCCGATCGCCGATGAACTCCTACCGCTTCTGCTAGAACAATCGCCCAGGGACTTCCCGCAAAACGAAACTCAGCAGCCGCGTACACTCCCTGGGTACAGAAGAACTTTGCAAGCCGTCGAAGATCTGGATTAAGTCGCGGATGATGAACTTGTCGAATTGTCGAGATGTGACACTGTGGCACCAGCAGAGAATTGTCGAGAGCTCGCTCCGTAAGAAAACTCATGGCGATGGCGGTGGAGACGGAGTAATGGAAAGAGAACAAGATGGAAACGGAGAGAGAGGCAATAATCGGTCGTCGTCCTCTTCCGCAGCAGAGGAGGATTCGCGTGAATGCGAAGATGGAGAAGGAGGGAGGGGACGAAGGTAGGACATATGGCGGATGATCGGACGAGCCGATCGGCTGCCGGAGACCTCAGGCGCAAGCCGCACGGTGTTCACGCCGTTGGGTCCGAGCTCAATCACACGGAATCGCCCGAAGAATCGTGGCGCTAGGCTGCTAGCTTGCTCTAGCGAGCACATTTCCTCACTTGCACGATGTCCCCCAATTTGTACTGGGGTCGTGGCCCTGCGTTTCCGTTCCGGGGCTCGTAGCTTCGGACCTGTCGGCCATGGGCCAACTCGGTCATTTTCTGGCGTTTTCGGGCTTGCCTAGGGAGGGACCGTTCCATCAATTCTAGGTGCCGCTTGGTCTTGTCCCGTGTTGTGGCCCTTGTGGGCCGTCGGTTGAGCGTTGATTCGTCGGGAAGGCTTGGTATCGAAACACAAGCGATGCTATTGGTCCTTAATTGGAAGGGGCTTAGGCTTGTCGATTCGTGGGGCGTTCCGCGATGGACCGCTAGGATGTGGTCAACGATATCAGGCCAGGGCCTCGGGTCCCGTGCTGCGATATTGCGTCGCGGTGCTGTCTTTATCACTCTATTGCCGTTTTCTACCAGCCCATTAGATTGTGACATGTGGGGCGTTGTGTTCCGTATAGCGACGCCGTGCATGACCAAGTTCCTTAATACTTCCCCTCTGAATTCTGCCCCGTTGTCGGTCAGGATTTCTTCTGTATCCTGGTGCATCCCGAGAAAACGGTTAACATACCTCGCGATTTCGGCGGCTTGTCGCGTACGACAGAGGTAGGCCTCGATCCATTTCGAGAAATGGTCGACGAATACCAACAGGATTGAATATTCGTAACTATTAGGACCAGGAGGTACCACGATATCGGTAGTATCCATACTCACTCTTTGGAACGGTCGCTCTACTACCGTTGGAATTATCGATCGTGGCGGCTGGATCGGCGCCTTGTCAGTAGCGCAGACTTGACAGTTGGCGACGATGAATTTCACATCGTCGCGAATATTGGACCAATACCACTCGTTTTTGTCGATTGCTGACTTTGTAATCCGTACGGCAAAGTGGGCTGCCGTTTCTTCATGTGCCGACTTTACCCATGCGTACCTCATGAACAGATGTGGTACAACCATCCAAATCCCACTGCCGTCCGTTTTCCGTTTCTCTAACCAACCTTTTATCCATCGATAATCTTGAGCCCTTTCGTTAGCCCTCCTCCGATCTTCCTTGGTAAAATCTTGGAGGGGGTTACCCACTAAGGTGGCAATCAAGGCGATGTCGGTCCATACTTCGGCCCTTCGAAACTTCCGGGTCTTTTCCAACCCTTCTGACATGGCATCCACAAAGCGAGCTTCGGTCGGGATCTTGTCAACCCGACACAAGGGACATAACCAGGGTTTACTATCATTTCGATATTGGATGCACGAGCCATGGGCTCGTGCAACACAACGTCGGCAGTCTATCCATTCAGCATACCCTTCCCCGTTAGGACACATGGAGACAGAGTATACGCGAGAAATTGCTTCACAAAAATAGCAAAATTTATCAGGTAGGGAGAGAATAGACGAAGAGGAGATGAGAGAAATAGGGGTAGTGAGGTTACCTCCGTCACCCATTGTCACCGGTCTGCTCCTTGCCACGTGGGAGTACTGCCACCTGTCCGTACTTAGGCCCGTTTGTCGGTTCCAACTCTTTCCACGGAGTGATTTCCTCGCCTTTCGGTACTTCAGCGGGCCTATGCAAACGTGTCAGTCCGTCCGCGTTGCCGTGCCTTTCTGTCTTTCGGTGGATGACTCGGATGTCGAAGTCGTATTCCTGTAGCCGTACCGCCCAACGTCCAATCATGCCCGTGTAGTTAGTGAGCTTCTTCAAGGCCAGCAGAGGTTCGTGATCCGTCACGAGGCGGAACTTCTGTCCATAGAGATACGGATGGAAGTGTTGGATTCCCCAGACTACTGCATAGCATTCGCCTTGGGGTGCCGAGTCATTCCTCCGCTCGTCTGACACCGTTTGCGACACGTACTCGATGACATGTTCGCGACTATCGTTCCCCTTCTGCGCTAAAATAGCGGAGATAGCTTCCGGTTGCCAGTCTGTGATAAGAATGAACTGTTTGGAGGGGTCCGGCCGAATCAAAATAGGGGCCGTCGCCAGAGCGTCCTTGAGGGTCGCGAAAGCCTGTTGGCACTCCGCGTCCCAACTGAGAGGCTGGTCCTTCCGTAGCAGGTTCGTTAGTGGTCGTGCAATCACGGCGAAACCCTTGATGAAGCGGCGATAGTACGATGCCAACCCCAAAAAGGCTTGAACCTGTGTCAGCGACGTGGGAACTGGGGCTTCTCTTACCGCTGCAACTTTCCTTGAGTCCGGCTGCAGTCCTCCACGTGTTACGACGTAGCCTAAGAACGAAATTTCCAAGAGGAAAAACTCGCTCTTCTCGAGTGCAATCTTGAACCCAGGGTTCCTCAGCGCTCCCAACGTCCATTCGATGTGTTGTGCATGCCCGTGATAGGTCTCTGAGTAGACGAGGATATCGTCCATGTACACGATCACTCAGAAGTTGACCATTCCCTGCGTTAGCCGCGTCTTGTTGACGAAGTTCTGAAATGTCATGTTCATCGCTCATTGAAACGTGGCAGGCGCATTGTAAATCCCCATCGGGCACCGAACCCACTGCCACGTGCCCTCAAACAGTACGAAGGTCGTCTTCGACCGATCTTCCTCCTTCCTCCTTCACCAGAATGTGATGGAAGTCATGCCAAATATCAAACTTGCTAAAATAATTAGCGCAACCAATCGCATCCAACAAATCATCAATCCGGGGGAGGGGATATACATCTTTAATTGTGATTTCATTCAGCTTGTGATAATCGATGCATATGCGAATTGATCCGTTTTTCTTCGGTACTAGCACTACGGGAAATGACCATGGTCCGGTGGCGGGTTCAATCCACCCACTGGCTTCGAATTCCCGAATTCATTCGAGAGCCTTTTTCCGTTCTATCAGGGAGTATCGGTACGGCTTGCAGTGGATTGGGGAATGATTCCCCGTCTGTATTTCGTGTTGAATAACTAACGACAAGCCAATGTCAGTGTCTGTCACGCTAATCGCTCTTCGATATTCCGTCAAAATGTCTGCAATCAATCGATGAATCTCATCGGGTACGTACTGTGGCACGTGTAACTCAAAGAGTTGGTCCCAGATCAGTACGTCTATCTGTTTTGTGCGTGCAGGTTTCGCCACATCGGGTGGGGGTGCAGAAATGAAGGAATGGTCTGATCGCCTGGAGAACATCGTGGCCATCATCAGGGCGTCTTCTTCCTGATTCCGTCGCAGATATCCTGCCATGGCACGGTTTTAGTTGCGATTTTTACTCCAAGTTCGTCCGAGTCAGCTTCGAGACGCCAAGGGGGTTCCAAAGAACTGGCTTCTGCCCCCAAGCGCAGCAGTCGCACTTCTTTTGCAGGTGTCAGTAGGGACCTTGGTAGATCTGTAATGTCACAGTAATGCTTTTTGTCCCTATATTTGGTGAGAAGCGGGGCGATTCCTTCGTACAGGGTTTGAGGGGGTTCCAAAGAATTGACCATCCTCAAAATTTGTACGCCGAGGGGTTCACCTAAAATCATCGCCTTAGTCCTTTGGATGTTTCGACTGGTTAGATGCATCGTTCTTGCGATTGTTCTGGGTGGCGGATAGAAAACGCGTTGTCGCACTAGCTTCAGGATTTCTGGGTCATTCTCGTCACTGATGTCCGCGTCCTTTGATGATGGCTCACCGTCTGCAGAGTCTTCCTAGGCGATCATGCGGAGAGTCCCTGCTATCATCGGCGAGACTCGCGGAACTGCGTTGAGGGTAGTACGAAGGGTCAGTCTCATCGGTACAGCATACGGCTTTCCCCCTGTATTTCGGAGGATGATTGACCTTCGCTCGAAGTCAAGATTCGCTCGTAATGCCACTAGAGCAGGAAGTCCAAAAAGAACGCCGTAGGTATTTACATCTAACACCACGACATCTCCCAGTGCATGCACTTTTCTCAATCGGAAAGCGACATTGGTCATTCTACCCATCGTTTTAATCTTTTCTTCATCTGCCGATACGAGCTGATCTTTTTTCTAAAAGCATGATCAGGTCGTTTTTCCTACCTGCCCTCTCAACTACTCTCAGCGAGATAGCCAAAACAGCGGCTCCCGAGTCGATGATTGCATTGTACGGAATAGTCAGGATAGCGTGACATGGACAACATCAACATCATCAACAACATCAACAACATCAACAACATCAACAACATCAACAACATCAACAGTGGCAACAGGAGCAATATTGACAGTTCCAACATCTACAATAACAGCATCAATACGAACAACAGTGACACCAATTGTTCCACTCTAGGTTCTGACGCAGCAACCATTTGCTCAGGCGTGTGAGGAATTGGGTGATGATCACATGGTGTCAGCATCGTTTGGCTGTCAGTCTAAGTCTGTAGTAGTGAATAACGGGGATTTGACGGACAATGTCATGGGAGCGGCGATCCGAGCACCTGCTCCAAAAGTTTTGTTGACATCCGTTTCACAGCCTTACCAACAGTCCGCTGAAGATCAAAAGGTATCATCATCATTGGTTGACAACGGTACTTTGGCGGAGGTAGGTGATGCGGTTCCCCTGCTTATTCTGAAAGTCTTTTTTACAATTGATTTGTCATTTACCCAGCAGTCCGATGCCGGCAATGATATCATGTGTGATGATTTACAGTACTATGACGACGCAGGGTTTTTTTTGGTTTCGCAGGGGTGGACCATCACCCCCCAGAGGTTAATACTAATGAGTTGTGATGTGGTATAATCATGGGGATGGCTCAAGTAGTTGACGGCGGGGAGGGTTGGATTCGATGGGTTTGGCATGTGTTTTGATTGTTTCACTCCTGGGTAGACATCACCTGCCGCAGTCCCTCTTTCCCCCTATTCCTTCTCTATTGCTTGTCCCGACTGTCATATTTTGTGGCTGGTACTAGGTGGGTAGCATGATGGAGATGGGCGACAGGAAGGTTTGTTGCTTGGGTGATGGATAGGGGGAGGAGACTACGTGGCAACCTCGGTCGCGGCCGCAAGATCCAAGTCCGTGCCCAGGATCCTAGACCGCAGGCCCGCGGCCGAGGCCGCGCAACCGAGTTCGCGCGCGGCTGCGCCACGCCCAGGCGGGGCCGCGTGCTCAAAATCCGCGCGCGCGCTCGGCCTGCGCATGTCGGCTGTTATAGGCCTGTGCAAAAAAAAAAAAAAAAATCAAAAATTTGGGGGGACGATTTTTGATGTGTGAAAAAAAAAAATTAAAAAAAATACAAAAAAAAAATCAATCGATCGATTGATTGATTGATTGATTGATTGAGTGATTGATTGATTGATTGATTGGTTGGTTGATTGATTGATTGATTGATTGATTGATTGATTGATTGATTGGTGGGGGAGGGGTCCTCCCTCCCCTCCCCCCGGCACACGGACACACACACACACACACGCACACACACACACACAATCAATCAATCAATTGCGGAACTTTGGTTAATTGATTGATTGTGTGTGTATGTGTGCGTGTGTGTGTGTGTGTGTGTGTGTGTGTGTGTAGTACTGTATATTTCGACGTTATAGAGGAAGATTCGATCATTTTACTCATCCTTTCGATGGAAGTTGCGCGAGGCCAGCCGCGGCCTCGCGCAACTTCCATCGAAAGGATGAGCAAAATTGATTGAATCTTCTCTCTCTCTCTCTCTCTCTCTCTCTCTCTCTCTCTCTCTCTCACACACACACACACACACACACATACATATTCACTATAGAAAAATAATAATTATTATAAAATAATAATATAATAATAATATAATAATAATAAAATAATATAATAATAATTAAAAATAATAATAATATACATAAAATTTTTAAATTTAAATATAATAAAAATAAAAAAAATAAAATAATAAATAATAAATAATACAATTAAATTTAATACATAAATAATGAAAATTAAAAATTAAAAAAATAAAAAATAAAGAATAAGAATAAAAATAAAAATAAATTAAAAATAAAATTATTAAAATAATAAATATAAATAAAACATAAATAATAAAATAATAAAATAAATTTAAAAATTAGAAAATTAAAAAATAAATAATAATATATAAGAAAAATAAAAATAAAAATACATATATATATATTTTTTAAACTAAAGATAAAAATAAAAATAAATATAAAAATAAATAAATAGAACTTTAAACCTTCCAATATATTAAGGAAATTTAACTGTGCTCCAATAGTAAAATAACCAAATAATACTGCCATGTTTTTTCCAAATTGATAGAACAAGGTACACCTCATATGAAAACACACACGGAAAGTAAACTTCCACACTTAGTGCAGATTTTCCGACAATTAACACATACAGTACATATAATAAAAACAGGCAACGATATACAACGTAAACCACTGCCTACGTACAAGTTATGGGTCAGGAGAAATGATTACTGACGCTAAAAACTAGACGACGAACAAAAAAAGTTGAAGCTACGCTCACACAAATAAGCACCCAGCACTCGAACACCGTACGGCACACAGACAAAATTGGTAGTCGCAAAGCACTACATCGAAACGACGGACCTGACAGAACGCAAGACAAACGGACACGCGAATAAGACAAACAAACCACGTTGCTCCCATCTGCCGCCATAGCCAGTCCACCTCCCAAAGCGACAAAAGAACCAACACCTTGCACATGCTGCTGCTCCAGTAAAAACAAGCACGGAAGAAGATCCAGCATCCCGAAAACAAATACGATAGCATAAACATTCGACCCATCCCGTACATACTCCTACCCCCCCACGACCCATGTATGAAGCAATGAACTCCCATATGCAAGCAAATGTCCCCATTTTTTCCGCCTCTACACATTGCTACTCAAAAGAGATATCCACCACCCCCATCCCCCCCTCCCACGAAAGAACCAGTCTTGACCCTACCAGAATGAAGCCTTGCTCACTTCCTACCTCCTACTCCATCCCCGCAAAGCCAAGAGCTTACAGACTCTGTATAGCGCTCTTCAGAATATATAGCTCGCAATGCACGCACAATGCAGTAGATACCCACGCAGACGGGAACTGCTATTCGCAGACTTGCGATGCTTGGCGCTTGATCCTCAGAATCCTGCCACTAAGACCTCCTGCTGCACCTATCCTCCTACTCTCTCTTCACACGGGAATGCAACTTCACAGCTAATCCCGTACCTGAGCGCGCTGCAGCACGTGTACAGTGAACTGTCCGCCCTGTTGATGTGCGAGCTACCTAACTCTGCGCTGCACGAGACTCGCTACGAGCGATGGCGGCGAATGATTCCCCAGCTGCACCTGCCATGACTCCTCAGGTATGGATCGCTAACAACCCCGCCCCCCAAAAAAAACCTCTTGCATTACCTTACACCCCACCTTCACTTATAGCCCTCCCTCCTCCCACCCAACCCCTATGCTAACTGGAGTTGTTACTAAGCTAATCCCTCTGATGAGCTGTTATGGGTGCTAAGCGGCGAAAAGCTCGCTTTAGGGCGTGCACCCCCCCTATGGTTGGGCTCTTGCCCTCTCCTAACCCTGCTAACCACTAA